CCAGGGTACAGGCTGTGAGATACTACTACAAAGGGATGCATATGAATGAATAAAGGGACGCATATGTATGATCAAAGGGATGCATACATGCAATATCACTAATACAAAGGGATTCAACACAACGTAAAGGTATTCAATTTACTACAAAGGTATTCAGTATGCAATATGCATCCTGTATTCATAATGAATATGGCTAGAGTGAAGAATCCAAGAAATATCCTGTGACAGGTTGAAATCTGTGTAACTTCTAAACTATAAGAGATAAAGGTATGGTTGTAGTGGGTGACTAGGGGTTATTTTACCTGAGGAATCCATTTTTGATTTCATTTTTACCATATCTTGAATGAATAAAGAGATAATAAGAAATTTTTATATTTTCTGCGTAGAAACACAGTATTATTTACCACAACGAGGGGGGGGGGGTTCTGATTACACCACGGGTGCAGTTTGACGTGGGCCCGAGCCAATGCTGAGCAACAAGGGGGGGTTTTCTGATTACTCCACGGGCGCAGTTCAATGTGGGCAAACACCGGACACCGATTTTTTTGGTGGATTCCACAAGTGACCACTGCGGCGGGTCGGACCAGCTCCTGACGGTCCACAGTTTTGCGTGGACTCCACATTAGGGTTGAAGGCGCCATAGGGTGGGGCGCGCCAAAGTGAGCCTGCCCCCCGTGCGGGCACCCAGGTCTCCAAAGATCCTGAAAATGGGGGTTGGCGCGCACCTGACTTTTAACCCTACTTTTGAAGGACCCCTGAGATATCTTGGACCGGATCCAACCAGATCACACCGGATTTAAAATTTCCCATCTCAGTCTCTCACCATATTGAATTATGCAGTTATGGCCTCTGACACAAGCACTATGCATTGTAGCAGAGGTCTTGCCTCTACAAAAAAGAAAAAAAAGAAAAAAAAAAACTTTGAACTTTGTTTTTTGAGCTTTTTTGACAGCGCCATGCTCTGGGTTTGACAGGCGCCCCTAGGCGCGCACCTCTTGAAAAGGTGGCCCCGTCAACCCTACTCCACATGTCATTCCACGGGTCCATCCCGAGGTCATCCGGTGGAGCCAATGAGGAAGCCAGCAACACCGCAGATAGGGAATCGGCAGTGGCCCCAAAAAGGAGCACACACGGAGTCGAACTCCGGCAGTGGCCCGAGTCCAAGACTGCAGGAGGATGCTCCACCGTTGGCACAGCCCGCAAACAGCTGATGAAACTTGGATTTTTTCGCGCTGACGTTTTCGCGGAAACTCGCCTGCAGTCACTGCGGCTACTGGCGCAGTCACGCTTGCAAAAACGTCAGCACGACAAAATATTGATTTTGTCACCTGTTTGCGGGCTGTGTGGTCCACACAGTCTTGAAATCATGATCTCCTCCTTCCGACATTAGAGCATCTCCACCGCGGGTGGTAAACGAAGGATTTGTTGAGGGGCACTCAGGTGACTGAAACAAAGAATGCTATAAAACTCACTGAGGATCTTGACAGTGAATATAATAGTTTGTATTCAATGATCATGAGAGGAAGAGAGAAGTAAGGAGCTGGTAGAAAAGCAGTAGCGGGGTGCTTGTTAGAAGCATAACTCAATATAAGCATACGGCTACTACATACAGGCTGTACCATCCCAACATCCCCCCTTGCTGATAACAAGCAAAAATTCAGCATGTCTTATAGTGAATAGAAAGAGAAACAGAAAAATTGGGAATTGCATCACTAGAAGTAAGATACTAATAGTAAGGGAATTGCCGTTTAGTAGGCTAAAAAATAACTTTTAGCGTACTTAGAAAGGAAAAAAAAGTAGCTATCTGAGTCCAGTCACTCATAAATCACGCCAATTTCATCTTCATCGTCAAAAGATCCAGAATCGTAACCGCCTAACTTGACCGTGGAGACCGCTCCGGCTTTGGCTTTGCCTTTGTTCTTGTTTTGGTAGCAGTCCGAAGATTTATGACCCAGCTTGCCGCAGTTGGAACACGCAATACGTTTGGTGGGAGCGAATGCGGCGGAGATCACATCGTGAGCCTTGGTACCGTTCAAGCTTACTTCGTGATCCTCCAGCGCTCCAATAACGTTTTCGAGTGACATCTCTGTTGCCGTGTAGACAATTGAATCATGGAAATTAGACCAGGTGGGATCAAGACCACCAACAAGCCAATTGGCAATTTGTCGGTTGGTTGGGAGTTCTTCAATAGACAGGAGATCGTCCGCAGTGACCCGGATTTGGCCAATCCATAGCGCTATGACTTTGTTTGGATTGTGCCTAGCATTCCAGAAGGCCTTGTGTAGTCTCATCCGACGAGCTCTTGTATTCTTTTTGTACGCATTGACAATCGTTGAGTATAAACGAGAGGCGGGTTTGACCTTGCGATAACGTGAGCTAACGGATTCGATAATGTCCATCAAATCGTGTAGCAGGCAGT